ACAAGGGGGCATAGTGCCAAGTGCCTACATGCGGTTAGTATCTTAAGAAACATCTGCATCATTGCTTGTATACGTTGGAATAACCTCATTATTATTAACATTGTGGCAAAGGCTCATCAGAGTTTTGCACTTTGGATTTTGTTAATTCAGTCTATGCAGTTCTGCCAGTTTTACAGAGGAGACAAGATACAAACACAGTCAGCATTTCGCTGCAATTTAAATAGAACTCCCTCTTTCTACTTTTCCATTTGTGAGAGAAGGAAAGATTTTCCCCGTCACAACATCCCTCCCAGGAGCGGAGTAAGTTTTGGCTCCCTGTCCAAATGATTAATCTTTCACATTATTTCGCAGAGGGACTCATAACACTCTACCACTACCTGTGGACCCAATTACACAGCTGACAACAGTATCAATGCAACACACTGACTTATGGCAGCATGAAGGCGGCAACCTTTGTGCTACATCAGCACAAGTGATTTACAGAAATGATCTGCATAAATTAACAGGCAAGAAGCGGAGGTATTTTTGGTAATGTTAGCTTCTCCCGTTAAAGATGCAAAACAGAGAGAATAATGACGCGTCAACAGGGCCTATAATATAAAAAAACTCACCTTTTTTTTCTGTGCTGCAATAAAGTAAAAAGTAAGAGCATATACGTATAATGTGTTGACAAACGTATTGTCAAAAATCTTTTTACTGTAATACCACATGTAGGATACATTGGAAAAGACAGACCATGAAAATGGCACTGGTCAGATTCAGACTGCACATACTAAATGGTCCAGCCCAGGCCCAGCTAATATGCTAGCTACACCACGAGTGACTTCATTGCTATTCATGCTATGTTCTCTCCTGCCTGTCTTTCATTTCAGTGTACAGCACACAGTGATCACTGGGACACGCTAGAGGTGCCACACCTGGCCTGATTACATAAATGCTTACTCTCATAGGGCAGCTCTTGACAGTAGTATGTTGGTCAAATTGCCAACCTGAGTGTTTTCACAGCAATTAGACCGAGTACATTATTTTCACATTATCATACTGCCACAAGCACTTTGGGTTAAGGTGCAGCACTGAGCGTCTTGTCTACACTGCAAGGCGGCATCATTCACACTGATGAATGCTGATGAGCATGGCGCAAGCTCCTGAAATTTGAAGGTTACACTGAAGTTGTGCTGCGAGGGATGGGGGAAGTCTGTATTTGGTAAACTGATGCCGGGGTGCAGAGTAAAGCATCTCTGTGCATGTGTGTGTTTCCCTCTGTCTGCCTCGAGCAGCCTGCGTGCTTCGCCGTGCTAGACAGCATGACTGCCAGAGCAGTTGACCAGAAGAGATCCCAATAAAAATATAAGAAACAAAACAACATTCAATTGGTGATCCATGGCCCTGGATGTATTATGCAAACATAACCAGCAGGACGGAGGGCTAATCAATCATGTTTATTTCTCTCCAGCAGAACGCTGCGGCCAGAGCGCCATGGACTACACATGCACATTAAGAAAACAGGGAATGTTTGTTTTTTTTAAGATTGTTTTTAAGGCATTGTTGCCTCTTTTGATTGATGGCAGCAGGCAGTGACAATATAGAGAGGACCGTGACATATTGCAAAGGTCCTTGAGTGGATTTGAAGCAGGATTGAGTAGATGCATGGTTGTACTGCACAGGCCGATAAGCCCCTTGGACATGCAACATACTATGGTCATATTCTGCACAAACAAATACCAAAGTTGTTGATTGTGTTGTGTGTATTTTTGACACATGTTGTTGATGGCAGCACCAGAGGTGAACAGGTGTGTTTTATGGGATGAATGAAGAGATGACATAGATTGATGACCCGGGTCTATGGCAGACCATTATATTAAGGCCACTGCTGCCCACTGTGGGTGGGAGGTTGTGTGAACGTTGACATCGCCAGCAGCTAAAAATAGCCAAAGAGAATAAACAGGCTGTTGCTACGGCGCGTTTCCTCCCACTTATTGACAAAAACACACAAGGCCGCTCAGACAATGCCACACACTCACATTTGTACATACTGTACTGAGCCATGGCATACTCACAAAATCTTCAAGCTCGCAGTTCCTGGCCTCACATCGAGCCAAGTCATGAGCTTTCCCCAACTTTGACTTTCACAGAATAATAAATGACACCTTTGAAAACGATGTTATAAAACACCATGCACTGGTTGCAGGCAGCAGAGAAATAGAGTGGAAGAGAATGCATGCTTGCATTTTTTAACCTTGCGCACCCATGTCCTTTTTTTTTTCTTCTTTATAAATATTCAAATATATTGCCACTTTCTATCAATAGAAAGGTGTCCCGCATTGATTGAATGCCTATTATTGTAATTTAAATGAACGTGACATTTGCACTCCCTTTCCTGCAGACAAGCTTACAGTAAATCACAGCCACATTTCTTTCTCTCTCTCTCTCTCTCTCTCTCTCTCTCTCTCTCTCTCTCTGCCTCTTTCACCACACACAAAGCCATTTTACATGAAAGGCAGCGCGGCTTGCTAGCTTAAATCTGCTCGGGCCTTTTTTAAAGAAAAACCCATTTCACTAATGAAGGCGTTATGAACAGATGATGGTGTGTCTCTCATATGTGCTGACAGCGTCAGAAGCAGGAGCTGTGGGGTGCGAGTGTGTCCACGGTGTTGTTTGGATGATGGAGTGGACACATTTTATGACAAATTGGAAAGGGAAAATACAGCAGGCAGTGACGGCTCAGGCATGAGGCAGACGGTGTAGTCAGGCAACCCTTTTTGGACCGGGATGGATGGCAACATACTTACAAAGAGAGAAGCCGGAAGTTGCGGGTCACCTTTGAGTTCTTCTTTTTCTCTCCTTTGTCCTGTCACGCAGAATAACCTGTGTTCATCTCCTGCGTAGCATTTAGTCTCCATTATCACGTCACATTATCACTGTCGGGGTGAATAATACATACAGACAGCAAAGGTTAATTGACCAAACGGTTGATTCAATCACCGTCAGCCATGTTAGCTCGCAAGTCCATCTGACTCCATCGCCCGAAGTGTGTTTAAGCATGATGCTACAATTTGGGTTGCTATGGCAACAACCAACACAAGCACACACTATGCCCACATAGTTCACAGGAATTAAAAAAAACAAAAAAAAACCTGCACAACCTCATCTCCCTGAACACCCTCTGGGGAAAAATAAAACATTTCTTAGTCTTTTGTAACCTGCAGTGCATCAAAACATTTCTATATGGAAAGTTAGTAATTACAGATATCAAGCTGCTAGCTAGAGTTATTCCTCCCACATGGTGGGATCCGGCCTGGCTTCAACTCCCTGGTTTGCCCGTGCATGCAGATGGTGTTAGTATAGAGCTGGAGGCATCTACCGCACAAAGTATGACATTACTCCACACAACAAATTTGCCGTGGTGCACAATCCTGCTCTGCTTATTATGTTGTGACCGCATCACTGCTACCTCATCATGACTCATAGGGTGGCTGATTGGCTGCACAGTTTGATAATAATCAATGACAGGGGACACAGTCAATTGCTCTTAATAATTTCTCAGCATCCTCTGTAATTTACTGTCATCAGGAGTTTTGTTGCCATCAAGAGAATAATTCATGTCTGTCAATAAGGGGTCAGGGAGATGCCTCACTACTCCTGAGTACTGTATAATACGTGTCATCTTGGTGGGAAAAAAAACTTCAGGTTTTGCTTCTTGGATGCATATTTTCATAGAACTCCTAAGTAAACCCATATTCAAATCAAATTTGCATGGCAAAGTGTCTTTATGTGCTGCACAGTCCTGAAGTCACATTTAAATAATTTATCAGGTCCATATGTGATGGCCATAAATGTGGTGTGGGATTCTCTATCTGCATATCTGCAGATCCACATGTGACATCTGGACAGTGCCAACGCCTGTGACCTTCAAACAACAGCGCCCGCACAGTTAAGGCACAGTATATACGTGCACACAGAGGCTCCGGTTAGTCAATGCTGCATTATTGATCACTTGTCACTGGAAGGAAGCAACATGGCAAGGAAATCAATTACACATATGCGGTGTACAATCAAATTTCTGGAAAAAAAGCGTTTGGCTAAGGGGGAAATTTTCAACTGACACGCAAGTTCTACGAGGAAATACTGCTGTGTTGAACTCTATTCATATGAACTATTAGAGTGAAGGGAGAGAGAAGAGAGAACTCCCTAGCAGTGCAGGTATCTAAGCTATATTAAGGGATACATCATTTAATATCTGTTTATTCATTTGAGACGGGGGAGATCATTATATATTGATACTGTAGATAAGATGGGGTTTGAAGGAGGCAACAAGGTGCATCTGCGTGAGTTCATCGCTGGCTTACTGCTCTCTCAAGTGGTCAAGAAAAAGGGTCAGGCCATCCTCTTGCATCAGGTGGGTCAAATGAAACATCTCAAATGGTGGGTGACAACTAACCCACCATTGAGAGAGCATGAGGGAGCAGCCAAAGTTGTGTGTGTGTGTGTGTGTGTGTGTGTGTGTGAGTGTGTAAGGGGGGGGGGGATTGGTTATGTTCTGAAAAGAAGCAAAGTTTAATACCATGTTGATGTCAGTTTTTGGAGGAGATTCTTCACAGCCCTGCAAAGTAACAGCCCTCGAGCTATTGTGCATTTACAATCAGAGGCAACATGACACTTCATGGTCATTTCACTAAAAGTGGCAAAGTGTGCACCTAATACCATTTGCCACCAACACTTCAAAACCAGCATTTATAGGGATTCGGTTATGGCCAGTGTGTGTGTGCGTGTGTTTTGTTTATGTGTGTGTGTGTGTGTGTGTGTGTGTGTGTGTGTGTGTGTGTGTGTGTGTGTGTGAGAGTGGTGTGAGAGTGTGTGTTAGTAGCAACAGCCTAATGTTATGACATCCCTTAATCAACTCTCGTTGCGTCCAATACTTCCCCTTGCTGCTCCTACCAGAGTTCCAAGTCACACACCTCGAAATGTAACGCGCCGGTTTAATTTAGCTGGGTTGTGGAACATAACGTGCCACCCCAGTTGCATATAGTTTTTTTTTTCACCTCTAGGATGTGGTGCAGCCCGCGTGCACCCCTCTGCTCCTGCCTGTGTAGTATACAGCGGGACCCTCCGCAGTTCGCTTATCCCGTTCCTTCCCGTTGCCTTTTGCGCGCACGACGTCTGCAGCACATTCAGTGAGCCAGTCCTCTCCGTACGCTGCGAGCTTTTGGATGAAGGCAGGACTCTTTTCCACAGTGTGTTCTGATGGCGAAACCTGAGCTGGTTCCGTCTCGGTGATCATTTGTAGAGGAAGACGTTTAAGCTTTTTTCTTGTTTTTTCTTCTTCTCCGCTTCATTCTTCTCGACTCATTTCCAACAAAATGTGGGACGCGCGTTCTCTGCGCGGCGTCCGCGGAGTGCTCTCTTCAGTCCCGGCCGCTTGACTACAGGGGGATCCCGGCTCCCTTTTCCCTCCTCTGCTCCCACAGGAACAACAGGAGTTTGCATGCAAAAGGTGGTTTATCTCGGCAAGGTGAGAGAGGCTATTTCTCTGTGACAGTGTTTTCCTGTTATTCGGATACTTTGAAAAGAGTCGAACACCGAACTCGTGCGCTGCGTGTGCAGGTTGTTTAGACTCATTTGCACAGGAGGTGTTGTATTTTAAAAATATTACTGACATCACAATACGTTGTAGAGTAACAGGGTGCAGTGCTTTTGAATTTATGGGACTGCAGAACAAGTCAAGACTTACAGATTATCAATGTGATGCCGCTTTACATCCCTCCCTATTCATTTTAGCCCATTTTCATTGTAAAATTGTATTTTGTTTGTGGCCAATGTTTGGTACAAATACTCAGGCAGTGTCAAATGTAACTAAAATTGTTGCATTCAAGAACATCTGCTTCTCTCAATTCTGCGCAATGATGAGCCCTGCTCCTAATTTAAAATGGGAACTTAACTGCCTCAATAAATGATTGAAGACTCTAATTTTTACAACTTTTTAATATATTGTTCAGGACTTATCCAAGTGTGTGGGGCATTTGAATCATTCTGTTAAATTAAAAATACTACACAGTGGCTCTTTTTATGTGCAAGAGGTTATATTTGTCAGAAAATGTGATTATAATTACCGAGATGTGGTAAGGGAACAGATATTAAAGAAATAAGGTAAATGAGACTCCAGAAATTACTGTCACACTTGCCTCCTCCATTAAGAAAACATGAATGAATTTGGCGGCTTCTCTCAGTTCATTTGCTTCCTGACCCACCATTGAGTCCTATTTTTGACCGACGGGGCTGCATCCGGCATGAGTTCATTGCCTCACTACACAACCACAACAGTGCTGGAGAGGAGTGCAAATCAAAGCAACCATATTGACTGTTAAAACAAAACCATCGATTCCGCCTTCTTAGAAATGTGATGAAATGGATCAGTAACACTCCACAGCTACTATTTTTGACTGATAATTTAAAGTAACAGCTGACTTTCTAAGTGCCTCTGGAAAAGAGCTGATTTATGTTTTTGCCTTGAAATATGCTTAACACGGCAACAAAACAAGATGTTAAATTGTGTAATACATCCAATTTTAGATAGCGAACTGACATTTAGTCATCTCACAAACTGTCTCTTTTTTTTCTCAGCCATGGAGGGACTTGCCTAAAGAGGATCCAACATAGTTAAAAACGTTTTGACTTTTTTTTTCGTGTCAATTTTGAGACATCTTCCCCAATAAGTCTCCTTTTCCATCACCATGGCTGAGAAGCTTGGACCAGAAGGGCTCAAGCCCACCAACATCGAAACCGATCCCTCCCTGCCCCCAGAGCCCATCGACATCATCCGCACTAAAGCCCGCTCCCGTAGAGTCCGCCTTAACGTTGGGGGTCTGAACCACGAAGTCCTTTGGCGGACCCTGGACAGGCTACCCAGGACCCGGCTCGGCAAGCTTCGCGACTGCAACACCCACGACTCCCTGATGGAAGTCTGCGACGACTACAGCCTGAACGAAAACGAATACTTCTTCGACCGGCACCCGGGGGCCTTCACCTCCATTCTGAACTTTTACCGCACGGGCAAATTACACATGATGGAGGAGATGTGTGCCCTTTCTTTTGGCCAGGAGTTGGACTACTGGGGGATTGACGAGATCTACCTGGAGTCCTGCTGCCAGGCCCGTTACCACCAGAAGAAAGAGCAGATGAATGAGGAGCTGCGGAGGGAGGCAGAGACAATGAGGGAGCGGGAGGGAGAGATAGAGTTTGACAACACCTGCTGCCCAGACAAGAGGAAGAAGTTGTGGGATCTCCTGGAGAAGCCCGGCTCCTCTGTGGCTGCCAAGGTAGGGAACCGAAACTGGAAGTGCGATCACACCGCCCCCATCTCACATTTCCTGATCACATTCAAAGCCGAACACTCTGCCTTGATCATATCACATTACAAGCACACGTATTAAAGGCCTACTCCCACCTGTAAAGAAATAACCACGAGTTCATCAGTTTGAATCTTAAACAGACGTGCACTGTACTCTTGCCGGGTTCCTTGTGCCATCTGTCTGCTTTCCATCTTTGTAAGAAGCAACAGTTGTTTGTGATGGATTAAATATAGAGAAAGCTGCAGCATTTGTGTTACAATTTGTGTGGATGTAATGGATGGAACAGAAGCAGAAGATGAGGAGTTGAAGTAGGTGTGTGATGTGCAAGAATTGTAAAATAAGATTATAGCGCTGGCGATGCTAAATTAGTAGTGGAATCACTACAGGAGCTAGATTTAGACTCTATTTGCTTTGACAAAATAATTGGTGGGTGCGTCAGCTTGTACTAGTGTTGCTTTCTTCGTAGGGATAAAGTAAGTCGGTGTAGATCTGTCAAGTCTCTGTTCTCGTGCAGTGCCATTAAGTGTCTGTGTTCCTCGCTGATTGGATAAGTCAGCGAAATGACAGGATGCTGGCAAAAGTTTGTTGCAGGTGCATCAATGAACACCGTTGATTCTGGAGCTGTTTAGTATACTAACTTTGAGACAATGTACACTGTTTGATGAGGTAGTCGTCGATGCTTCTCCCCATGTACCACGTGTTTAGATGACTGCTGCATCAGTCGGGTGCCGTTTTCATTCGTACACGATGAATCTTTAAATAAATCAGATGACGGCGTAGCAATGTCCAGGCTGTCCTTGGTAACATGAGGACATCTCTTTTGACTCCCCCTAATCCCAACCCCACTCGGACTTGCTCCCCAATTAGATGGGTCACCCTTAATGAAATCCAATCACTGGCGATTTACCTTTGGTCTCCAGTATCCTGATCTCATCATCGTGGTAGTGCAGGGCAGGGCCGGGTTTATATTCCATGTCAGGATATATTTCATGTCAGCATAAACCCAGTGTCCTGTGTGTGTGTGTGTGTGTGTGTGTGTGTGTGGATATGATCATCCTCTCTGTGGGATATCGGGGATCTCATGATGTTTTGTACGTGTGGTGCAGTGTTGAGGCAGTTCTGAAATCCTGCTAGTAGTGCAGTATTCAGCTTTGAAAATGGCAAAAAAAATGTTGACAATACTGACTACATAGGTTTCAGATCACTTTATAAGGCTGCTATACATCTCTTCCTTCCTGTATTAGTCCTGCATGGCTTGTTTACCGAGCATCAACCAGTGATTTGTGATTGACAAAGATCCCGCCTCAGCTTAATAATTGTATTTCCGCCTGCAGCTGTATATCACAAGAATCCATAATAAGGAGGCCACCTCTATCTAATTCAAGGCAAAATCAGGTGACAGCGGGGGGGTGATTTTATACGCTCTGTGATATTTAAAATGATTTACCTCCTCAATGCAGTCACCGTCATTCTCCAGAAACACTTGAGTTTCGCTGACCTGTTCACTATCGCGTGGGGGAAGCCTTTGAAAACTTAAAAGGAAATCCCACCCTAATTCAAATTGACATTCTACTTTGTGCTCTACGTGGAGATCTTGAACGTGACTCTAATGGCTCACCCTTGCGCTCACACTGAGGTTGTCTGCAGCTGAAAGAACATTTGGAAATGGACTGCCGGGGGCAGCTCCCCGAGGTCAGGGAAACCTTTTATGGGGCATGCATCGTGCAGTGAGAACCCTTGAAAGCCCTTGACCAAGGAAATGCCATTACTGGGCTGGTACACAGCCATGCGCTTTTATACAAAGCAACCTGAGCCCTTTGTCAAATGCAATCACAGAGTCTTCTGGCATACACACATTCTCTCTGCCTCTCTGTCTTTTTCTCTCACTTCCTTTCTCTTGCACTGCCGTAATCAGATGTTAGAGCCCATTGTGCTGCTATATAGCATCTATGGCCCTCTCTGCCCTTAAATAAAGGTTATGCATGAGAGGACTGACCTTTTCAGCAGGGTCAATCAAGCTAGGATTACATTCATCAGCTATAACAATCGTGCATGCATTGGGAGTACGGGCGAGGGTTAGGCAAGCCCTGAGAGAGAGAGAGAGAGAGAGAGAGAGAGAGAGAGAGAGAGAGAGAGAGAGAGAGAGAGAGAGAGACAGACAGACAGAGAGAGAGATGTAAGAGATGCAGTCATGTAAGTTATGCCTCGGGATGCTGAGCTGGATCTTTGCAAACATTTCTCAATGAATAATGAATGAAATGGTCAAAACAAAAAGGACACTGGCTAATGCAGTGGCTTCTTTGTGTTACTTCGTGTCTCATGGTTGAGTGCCCCCCCGTTGTGCGAGGAGGAGGGGGGGACTTGGTTTGTGTTCAGTTTTATCTGGTGGGTGGCTTGTCACAGGTGACCCTCCAGGTCCCAGGATCTTGCAAGCCCTTGTGCTCTATGTGTACACCTACAGGAATCTTTTAGACCTGAAATATCCTTAGTTGGACTTCCGTCACAATGTTTTGGAAACTTTTTTGAAAATACAATTACAAAAAATGGCCTTTCTTAACATCTCCGTTCTGTTAAGAGTATCTCCACAGCTTATAGCCACTGGTAAAATACTGTCATGTGCTATTATATTATAGAAGATTAGAGTGGCACTCATGTTTGGAAAAAAACATCACATCGATGTTGCCGTCGTTTGCTTACTGCGGGGCTATAATTTCTATTAATCCAGTAGAACGTTTCATCCTTGATATTGAGCCCGAAGGATTTGTGCTGCCCTGACCCTCTTTTGTTTACAATGAGTCACGAGTGTAGTTGCACTGCAAATACACTTAGCACGAGCTCATAAAAGGAAGTCATATCCAAATTGCCGGAGTGCTGTAAGGAGTCTGAAATACAGTGACTTTTCCCTGCGTAAATATATGACCATCATTCCTGAAAACATGGATCTTGGTTCATATAACCTGTATGTAAATGTGGTAGCCTGCCTTAGTGTTCCCACTGGAGGCGTGTTTCGTCTACGTGACGGGAAATGTAATGAGATGCATTTCTTTCAGGTAAGCACAAAGATATGCAGACAGCGTGTAATAAATATCCGGACCCAACCGTTTGACAGACAATTACTGATTTAGTGAGAGCTTCAACATTAACATATGAGTCACGCTGTGTTCCTGGCATCATAAATTCATTTCCAGGTGTTACATGGATGCCTACAGTACTCAGTTGTAATATATGTAAAGCGTAGTTTGCAATAGCAGCATCTCTTTATTTTTGATTTGTGTTCATGCAAAGCTTCTAGACATGAAAACATTCCCCTCTCTAAGGGTTTCTTCACTTTAGAGTCCTTCCAGTCTGGGCAGTCTGGGAAAATACCGGCAGAGGATTCAGAGCATTTTAAAGAGATCAATGTTTCTACTTGCCAGACATTTCAAGTTGGGTTTTCCATTTCCACCCTCCTCTCTACATCAGCCATGTCCAGCCTAATGTGTATGTGCACCATTACTCTCCCCTTTATCTAATAATCCAGTCAAGCTAGTGGGAATGCTGAGCAATGGGCCTGTATGGGTGCAGACTCCAGCTCTTTGGTCCTCCCACGCTTGGAGGCAACCAAAGTCAGTCCACCGACCGCAGACACTGTTCATGATCATGACATAATAGCATAATACGGTAGTGTAACGGACACCTCAAATGGCAATATTTTTGTCATTCATGTCTTAATGCGCAATACAACCATTTTGTTTTGTTTATTAATTTGCTGAATCAGTGAGAGCAAATTCAGTGAGCACACTGTAACTCCACAGCTGCCTGTTGTTTCAGATCACTGCAGACAGCCTCTAACTCTCCATCCGTCTGTTTCCTTCCAGGCTCCAGCACTGGAGCAAAGCATTTGGCTCTGGTGTGTGCGTATTGATGCAGTTTCTGATAGTGGGAGAGTCAAAAAAATAAAGGGAAGCGGGGAAAGTGATGGAGAGTCCTTTAGTCAGCGTTAAGTCAAATATTCTGCCCAGTTGAAGCAGCAGGTCTGCTCCCTTGTGTTTCATTATCAGCCTTTCATCTCTGCATGGATTGTGGTCAGTCTTCAGAGGGAGAAATCGATACGCATTGGCATTTTATGGAAATTTTTTTATTTTTTCAGCTTGTTACTTTCGCTTATTTTGTGATGCAGACGTGAAATTAGATTTTGGTGTTTGTGGGTCATAACCCTGTCACGGTGATGCCTCCGTGCAAGAAGCAGAGCAGCTGATAACAACGCCACCCTGTAGGAGTTATCGTTTAACCACATTATCTTATTTGGCTTTCAGCAAGTTATTGGGATGCATTAAAAAAGGAGTGTAATTTAGGTAGAGCACACCATCTTCCCTCCTGCAGCCTCCTAGTTACATAAGTCCTTCACTGGGCCTCTAATCAGTACAGCCTAGCATTTAGACAGCAGCACCTAAATCCTCTTTACCCTGCAATCATAATCAGATAAGAGAGAACCTCCTAGACCTAGATTATAGGTGGGATGAGTTCTTATAGTCCCTGCATGGCCAGAGGCAGCAGCATTTATCATCTGGATCTAACAGGCCACACTTTAACCCGGTAGCCCTGCTCACTGCTGCCTTTCTTCTCTCTTCAGAAGTCACCTGCAACATCAGTCTTATCTTAAGTGGAAATCAGTTCTGTAATGGTTCAGTTCTGAATTAGTTATTATGTAATATTGGCGTTGAAATGATAGTGAAAGCGCCTTCACAATGCACTGTGGTGTCACTTTCATAACTTGTATACGCTAGCTGTTTCATTTGTTTAAAGCGTTTGTAACGGTGCCTTCTATTGTTTTCATGAAAAGTGTCTGATTTGTTGTATATACTCACTCGTTTGTTCTGCTATTTACTCACTCTAAACACAAATTTCCTCATATGGACAGCAAACTGCTCTAGTGGTGTAAGCAGTGGGTAGAGCACTTTCCACGCAGTTGGTGCTGTTTGAATATA